CAAAACGCGGACTAAAGTTAGTCTTGGTTTAAACCTAATGTAGTCTCCGTCATTTTTTAGCAAACAAAAGTGACATCAGTTTTATTCCAGGTTTAACTTTACTCTACGTTTAGTAATAAGGCGGAATGAGCTAATGTTATTTTGTCACTAACAATTAGCTGGCTTCTGTACATTACATGAGGACAATTACATATAAGCGAATAACGTTAAAACAAATATCGCATGTAGGTAAGTAGCCAAGTTCATTATTATAGCAGTTCAGAGGTCGCACAATGAACTGTGGCTCGAATGCACACAACATTATCTCTGATTTAATAACAGTAAAGAGCCTCTTCTTGACCATTTGGTATGATTCACGTTTAAGAAATACGTTAACTAGCATTAATTAATACTTAATAGATTCGTTTATGATGCTTGAGGTGATGGTAAGAAAAGCCACATTCTTGACTAGTCATACAAAAAACACTGAAATGAGGCAACATTTTTTGGCACAGATCCATGGCACAACAATTCTAAAAATCCTGTCTATTTATTACAGGAACGATTTGTTTGAGATAATCTTGTATAATTTCATAACTATTACCTAAATAAGATATCTATTTTGAAAACAATTTCTGAAGACCAGATTAAGTTATGAGAATTCCTCGGTTGATGCCTAATGACGTGCGTGGCGTGGGTCAGAGAAATTGAGTTCTGCATGAAAAGATTACCGCAATAAAATAGTAGATGGGTATTGTAGAAACCGAGGATGGTTGCGCACACCTCGTCACGGACCAACAGCTACTGCCAACAGTTGCGAGCACGCGCCCAGTCATTACCCGTGCCACGCTGCGATCGCTTCAAGCTTCAAGGAGACAATCCCGTTACGGCAAACGTTTTACTGAGATCACACCGCACAGCATGGATCTTACGCGTAAAAGGAAGTATTATCGACAATTTTATCGTAAATATTTTCTTTTACGATATTAGAATCTATAATGCTATTATTCTGTAAGAACAAACTCACTTTTCACTACGGACTGTACGTTTCTTTACTCATGTGCTTTTTTATCTCGGAATCCGCGATGTAATTTGAAATTAGAACACGAATCCCATACTACTAATATTATAAATGTGAAAGTCTGTATGTATGAATTTAGATGAAATTTAGTTTATGACCATATATAGTTTATGACGTGGATCTGAGACATAGGATATTTTTATCCCGGGAAAATGTTAGATTCCTGTGCGATTGGCAAAAAACTAAAGTTAACGCGGACGTAGTCGCGGACGGCCACTGGTTTCAAATAAATATGAAAAAATATAATCACACCGGCGAAAAGTGAGTTTGATTTTACTATAAAGTTTTTACAGAATAGCGCCACTCACAATAATCTAAATATTTCAATAGGAATTGAATACCTATGCCTACTTAAAGAACAATATTGGTACCTACCCATATCACCAATTGTTATATTATTAAAAAAGGAAATTGTGACAGCATAATGCAAAGGGACCAAAGTAGCTGACTTTTTATAAAGATACCTACTAAATTAATTTTTTATAAGTTTTTATTCTAAGGTTTTTATGAAACTATGAATAATGGTACAATGGGGTTCACTACGCTATTTCGAAACACTTACACCTAATAACATTTCACGATATTTTGTCTATTCGTAAGTATTATATATTATTATATTAGATTTTCTGTAGTGTTTAGGTGAAATGTAGTATCGTTCAAATGTGCTTTTAGTCGAAATAAAATAATATATAAATTGAATTGTAGTAGCAACAAATGTTCAATGAATCATCATAGATGAAATATTATTAGGTAAAATGAAGGTGAAACCTGTTTCGAGGTGGCATAGTAAACAAAGAAAAATTTCCATGTGTAAAGTTTCTATTTTTGTTTTGAGGATCATCAGTCTTATTAAACTTACCTATGCTTTAATTTTCAAACTTAAATTCCCTATAATTATTTTTTTTTTGTTATGAGAACAACTTCTTAGCAATCCATTGATTCAACATGCGGGTGCCGGATCCATCGTGTGGGAGAGGAGAGCAGTTCCCGGGACTGTAGGTTTAAGGAGGCCCCCTTTAAGATGCGCATCAACTCTCACCTTCACTGCTCGAGTTGCCCGCCCTTCCTAGCTTTTGATAGGAGCTTGTTAGTGCAGCATTAATTACTCGTTCCAAAATTGAACTTACTGCGGTTCTCGACAGGCCTAGGTCTTTTAGAAGGTTACAGAGAGATTTTGCTGGTATACCTTACGCTCCTACTTCTACCGCATATAAATTATAAAGATAGGCATTTTTAGTTAATTCATTGGTTAGATCGTAATATTTATTCAATTTTATTGTGTGGTCTTTTGGTATGTTAGTGCATGGAAAAGAGGAATAGATCCGACCTGGATGACGAAACACCGATATACTCTGGTATTTTATGTTTTTTATACATATCCATTAAAATCAGGTCAGGTGCAGTGCAGATTGAGAAAGGCTTGCTTTTCGAGTTAACAGTTGAGCCTTCTTTTATAGTTACTTTGTTTTTATTTGTGGTTAATCCTTTTTGGGTTCTAGCTGCTGCTTCACGTATGACTTTAAGAACTATCATGGCGACGTAAGTATTGACTCTTATCAAGGAACACCTTGCAACCTACCAATATGTGCCTAGCAGTACCTATTGCCTCACCACAAGTATAGCACGATTTTTCAGAGGCTTTCCCCCATCTTACTAGGTTACTCTGGTCTGGGAAGGCATTGAGATAGAATTTTAGTAGAGCAGGAGACCAACCAGCCAGTAAAGTGGGCCACTTCAGAGCTAATGGAATGTAGAAGTAACCTATGGTTAACCACTCACTTTGCATTTCCAAATTCATGAGCACAACAGAAATATGACGTATTATTTACTTTTTGTTTTGTTGAGTTTGACTGTAAACACAGATATGGAATTAATATACTTATACTTATGTTATTATATATCTTCCTTCATAGTAATGTAATATTAAAATGTAAATAAAAAAACTGAGGCACTGAAAAAAAACTGATTGAATAGAATAATTGAAATATTTTAAACTTTTTAGATAGAACACAAAGTATGGGCAATTAGGCATATTTTTAGGTTTTTTTGTATTAACACAAAAATGTTTTACTACATGATTGAGCTCTGGATACTCTTTTTGATATGGACAAAACCTGCTTTGCAAGTTTACAAGTAAAACAAATAAATGAAAAACAATTTAAAATAAAAACAAAATTAACAAAATATAAATAACACTATAAACACCATTATTAAAATCAAACCAGTCATAATTTCTTCAGATATATAAAGAATTTTGATGATTAACATTAATTTTGAAATCATAAAAGAAAGATATTGTGTAAAAACAGTACCCCAAGCACAAACTTGTGAGTGATTCATATTGCCTAAGTCATTTTTTTTAATGGAAACGAAAATTAGGTAACGTGCCTGTATAGCTCATATTTTAAAGGCCACTAGCATCAATGTTTAATAAACACTTCAACTAAATCTACTTTAAAAATTGCCATCTTTGTCAACTGTTTGAACTGTTGTCCCTTATTTATTAAAGAAAATGCTTGGAATAGTTATTTGTAGTCAGAGCCTTGGAGTCTTATTTAATAAAACTTGAGCTATTTTGGAAGACAAGATGAGTCTTATAATTAAAACTTAGAGCTCAACTTGTCCTTCAGAATTTGGAGTCTTTTGTAAAAAGACTTGAATCCTGCCAAAAAAAACTCATGACTGAGTCCTCTTAATCCATGGCTTTATATTTTAGTAATAAAATAGCAATTATTACAATTGGTGTAAAAAGTTTATAAATATAATGTGGGTAATCTATCCGTTGTGTAGACCAATAGTACAAACTTTAGTTGGTTTAGGTGCTGTGTCATTGTTCCCAAACATTTGTTTATTCTTTGTAGACAGTATTATGCATGTTTACATGTTTATTATTTTATTGAAACGTTTTAACTCACATTTTGATTACATTATTTGCATTTAATGCAATTTAATTGATACAATTTTTATTGTGTGATTTAGTTTCAATCAGGAATTAAATGTGGATGACAATATAAAAACACCTCACCAGCTCAAGTTCATGACTCAGTGTGGCTTAAAGAACTTATAAGACTTGAAAGGACTCTGATTCATGTGACTAACGAGTCCTAGTCTTGAAAAGAGACTCAAGTCTGGAAATGAAGACTAAGGCTCGTATTATAGAAAGATTCTCAGTGATTGATCTAGTCTTGAGCATAGCTAGAATGGGATGTCGCTATATATAGCACATAGCAACATCCCTTTTCTAACTGTACTCAAGTAAAGGTCAACACTTAGTTGTCATTCTGTAATACGGCCCTAAAAGACTAAAGTTTCTTACAACTCTACAAAACACTAAAAATAATAAGATAGTGGTTACCTTAGCATCCAGGAATAAAACTTCACTTGTTAATCTCCCACTTAAAACTTTTATTTATAGATACTTTGTTATATGTATTATCACAAATCCTGGTAGACTTTTAAAACACAATCACGCAACTGATAAAACTTAATGTATTTCCTTGATTACTGATTCCTCATATAAACATAATTTACACAACAAAACACATTCTGCGACATGACTTAGGTGTAAACGCTTACTCATCAGACTTCACTCTACACAAATAGTTTTTATTGCATATTTGGATGGCTTTTAATTTCTCTAAGCCGTCCTTATATCCTTCGACATCGATAATCTCATGAAATTATATACAAAGTTGACTAATATTAATTTACAATACATGATTTTTTGTTTAATTTGACACGGCTTTACCTCGTATCCCTGTTGATGATATAATACAAAATCAAGCTAACAATGATGTACTTTGCAAATTCACAAGCTCCCAAACAAAGATGAGTTTTTCAATTCACACGATAATGATTACTGAGGGAGTATCTACCAGTACTAGAGTATGAAAATATAAGATAAAGCACCTCGATTGGACAATGGTATGTATCAAAGATATTAACAACGTGATATGACGCGCACCACGACCGCCGAGGGTCCAGCGGCCGGGGGCGGGCCGCCGCGCTCCCCGCTGGAGGCCGGCCGTAGGGCCGGACGGGCACACTCCCGCCGCGCCCTTGCAGTCTTACGAGAAATAAATGCCACATTACACTCTAAATATTAAAGCACTGTACAACAACAATAAGTTTTCTTTTCCTTTTCAGGGCTAACGTTCATTTCACGCACGATTTCAGCGAACATTTCATTGACGTTGGTACGACTTTTGGCAGAGGCTTCCACAAAAGGGCAGCCCCACATCTGCGCGAGCGCCGCACCTTCTGCTTGTGACACCTCGCGTTGGTGCTCCAAATCCGCCTTGTTACCCACCAACAGAATGGGCACGCGCTCAGAACCCTTGACGCGTGTGATTAATTCCTTCATTGGTTTGATATCTTGAAACGTTTGGTGATTCGTTAAAGAATATACTACGACGAAGCCTTGGCCGTTTTTTATGTAAAGGTCCCTCATGGATGCAAACTGCTCGGTCCCGGCAGTATCCAATATTTCTAAAACACATGGTGAATTGTCTACCTCTATTTCTTTTCTGTAGAAGTCCTCTATTGTGGGGTCATATTTCTCCATAAAACATCCAGTCACAAATTGTACAGTCAAAGCACTCTTTCCGACCCCACCCGAGCCCAGCACGACCACTTTGAATTCGCGCATTATTGTGTTGAGTAAATCACAATTACAATCTTCCACACGACGTTTTGAAAACGTATTCACACTGTGTGCTATAAAAATGTCATTGCTATATTAGTTTATGAGTCACTTGAATGTAATCACTTAAAACCGTCCACATAAAGCAATCTAATTAATAAACAGCGACGCCATTTTAGTTGAATGAATGGCAAAACAACTTCAGTAGCATCGCGGTGCTAGACACTCCGAAGCACAAACGCGGAAGCGAACATCTGTACAACTGACTTGCTCCCTGCTGAAAGTAGACGACAGCAGTAGCAGGTTGGTCAATGCACTTTATTGCAATGGTCTGATTGGTGAATGAAGCACTATGCAAACAGGATGCTGGTGTTGACCGTTAACAAAAATTATTTACCCTTGAGACACACCGTGTACTTTTGTTTGTATAAAATTGATATCCGGCTTATCTTTTTACATTGATTACAAAATTTAACTAATAAAATATGATTGAAAAATAATTAAAAATAAAGAGAGACAATGCGCATTAAAATTCATTTTAATGCGGTTGATATTGACACTGTAATTTATTTTCTTAAAGATAAAAATAATATGTATTTTTTCTTATTAAATGTCCCTAAAATCAGGGGAAAACTACCAATAAAGCAACATTAGCAGGAAATGAAAAGTTATTTTTGTTATGTTGTCATACTTTCGTTGCGTTCACGTATTTCTAAATGTCTCAAGCATAGAGTACAGTAGACTTACTACTACGCACTTCCCAATATTGCTGGAACCAGTACGTGGGACTATAGCATCATAACCTCTTATTACCTACTAAAACGCATAGTATTCTGAACAATCTGTTAAGTCAGAAACATATTAATTTATTTCATTAGGTTAGCATAATCCCATCCATTTCATTTTAATTTGTGACTTTATTATTTTTATAGTTTATTATAAAGTGAAAGAAAGTACAAGTAACATGTCTAATAGGGAATGCAAATATAATATTTATGAAAATTTTATGATTAAAATGTTAAAAAAATATAAAAGAAAGGCCACTGTAACGTTTTTATTTTACATAATGTTGTTTTTTAACAATACTTACGAATTAAAAATGACTTGGAAAAAACCTATTTCAAAACACCAATCAGCGTTTAGTGACGTCACTCCTGCAGGCCAATTATGCTCGCTAATTGTGATATTGTTTTGATGTCTATTTCACATTACGTATTATGCTCTCCGAAAAATGCGATATCAAAATGACATCAACTTATGCTATGATGATGATCAACTCTTTAAAATGATATCAACTTAAATGCGTATTACGTTCAACTTTTTGACTTAAAATAGTATCGCATAAACGTCAAAAATGTGATACAGGATATGATATTGATATGATCTTGATGTCACATAGGAATGTTTCATAATACCATATAAAAACAATGTCAACTTGGCATCAACATCATATTGACATCACATTAGGATTTTATTACTGAAGCTTAATTGACCCGCTGCTATGACAACTTATTTGAGATTATGGTTATAAAAGTGAATATTATATTATGGGAATATTAATTGCGTTTTTTTAATAAAAATAGAAGTTGGGTTTATCAAAGCAGACTCCAGGAAATTACCAAGAGTTAGTGTTGACATGGTTGTAACTTTTTTGTCCAATGTGCAGAGTTTTCAAGTGTAGAAATGAAAGGGACTAAATTACTACGGTAGGTATAAATCATAGTTCGTGCATTAACCCGTAAAAACTAGTTTTATTTAATGAGTAATGTGCGTGAAAACCTAAGAAACAAATATAAATCATAGTTGTTAAACTTTGTATTTTATTCAGGGGCTTCTACACATAGCAGTTATTTCAGCTCAACAAAAGAATCTTACGGCGTAAACGCAATCGGCTATGTCCAAATTAAAACAGATGGAGAATTATGTACAGTAAAAAGTCGAGTTACTCCGGAGCATACAGTAAGTAAAGAAAGTTATCGTGTTACAGTTATTTTAAATGAAACGCAAAGCTTGGTTCAGTCCTGCCAATGTGAAAATTGTGCCACACATTTTAAACTTTATCCAATTTTTGACGTCGTTCTCCAACTTAAAAAAATGTTATAGACAGGTTTTGTAAATATTAGGTAGGTTACTAACGCGTTTTTACGTACAAGCAGATTCATTAAGCATATAACAAACCGCCGACTTACGTCAAAGTGATCTTCACAGCATCGAATAATGGTCTTTGGACAATAATTGTCATTTCTCTTCGCAGCTTGAAACCACTTTTTTCTCAATTTTGGGTCAATTAAATTAATTCAATCAAAAGACAAAAACAATTTTTATTTTTATTTTATTTATTCGGTATACATAACATGTTACAATCAACAAAGTACTAACTTATTGATAATTGAGGAATCGATCAAGATTGCAACACTTAACATGCATACACAAAAAAATTCGTTATATAAAACAAAGGACAATATATCGATATTAACTGTTACATTGCATTAAATTAAATTCATTCAAATAAAAACAAATTGAATACTATAAATTAGATAAAATTACTTACAATTGATTTAAATATATTACATTTATGAAATTATATTAAATTACAATAAAAACAAAACATTAGCAAATCAATTAAATAAGATATTATCAAGTACATATTTAATAAAATAAATCAAGCTAAAAAAACTTATTATATTAAAGCGATTAGCCTACGATTTCTAAAACACATTTTTTAAATTGATACGGATTGAGACTAAACAAATCCACATCCTTATGCACACCAACTAACTCATTATAGGCACGACACATCCTGACTATTGGATTATAATAAGAAGTATTGTTAGTGAATACTTGAAGTACAAAAAATTTAGGACTACAAGACTTGTATCTAATATTAAAATTCAGAAGCGATGGACTGTCCATGTGCGAGTTAGCGATTTTATACAGGCAGTTTAAATCAAAATACTTACGACGAGACTCAAGGGACTGCATATTAAACCTTGTCATCCTGTCTTCGTAACGCTTAATTTTTCTGTGAAACCCATAACGATAGCAGAGTATCCTGAGAAATCTACGTTGAACTCCTTCTATGCGCTGCACATGAACATTGTAAAATGGTGACCAAATGACGGTATTAAATTCTAGAACACTTCTTACAAGAGTTTTATATAAGTAAATTAGACTTTTTGGATTCTTGAAGCCTTTAGTACGACGCAAAACAAAACCAAGTGTGCACTTGTTTATTATGTGATCATAATGACTTCGGAAAGTAAGCTTTTCATCAAAGAAGACACCAAGATCCCTGACAACATTCCTTCGCTCGAAAGTATGTCCATGCAATTCATAGTCATAAAGAAGTTGGTGCTTTTTATTAGTGAAGGATACGACAAAAAATTTGTCAACATTTAATAGCATGTCGTTTCTAGTGCACCACCGTTTAATTGGATACTTTGTTGAAGTAGATGGACACATTGGCACAAAACATGAGTCAACACGGCTTTTTTTCGGAATATTAGTGGTATTGTTATGATCACCTGATGTTGTTGGATAGTCCATTTTAAATTTTTACAAAAACATATCTCGAAAGTCAAAAAAATATGCAAAAGTATGAATATTGAAAGCCAGCGACGAACAAGTACAGATAGGAGTGACGTCATCGGAACCATAGGTCCGTTTTCGCGCGAAAATTTAAACTGTCAATTTAAAACCGCATTTTTTCCGATAAATTACAATGTTTTAATTTTTGAATATATCTGTAGTTTATTCTACATGGAATTCTTTAAAATGAAAACAAAAATAAAAATATTGCATCTTCCCTATTGCAGTGTTAAAGTTTGCGGCATTAAAAAAGTCAATATTTTACCAAACATACATACAACCGGTACAATTATTGATCTGCAAATATACCAAACAATACAATAAACCTTTCTTAAACGTAGTTTGTGAATAATTCATGCAGAATTAACCATTTACTACGTATTCCTGTAAGTTTTCATAATGTATTATGTATGAATTAATGTTTAAAACAGTCCATTTGCCGATAGATTCGCCCTTCAAAGCATTTTTCAAATCAAAAGAAAAATCATGGTTTATATATACATATATAATGAGTATAAAATGAGAAATTATAGATAAGTTCATAATATTTAAAAAAAAATGTAAATAACAGCAAAAAAAATGAATTTTCTTTATTATATACTTAAATAGAAGTGTTTCAGAAAACATAAATTATAAGATAGATATAATTTTTATTTTATTAAGCATGTAACTTATTGATGTTTAGTTAATATAGTTTAAGGAATTAAATTGGCATTTATAAAATGGAAATAGCGCAACGCCTACAAACTGTGAAAATAGTTTGGCGATAGATGTGTTTTGTAAACTAAGATTAATGTTAAATTGGAATGAAGAATAAATACAAAAATAAAAAAGATGTTTTCCGATGATGGAACTGATCCATTCATTTGGTGATATATCTATTATTTCTTTGAGTATCTAATGGCAGATGCAATTTTAAATCATTATTTGAAAGAAGAAATAGCAGTTATAGTTATATATTTTTATTTTTTAAGTATGTAACTGCTTGATGTTTAAATCTAAAGAAAATATTACTAGAAAAAATTACACGCCCGTCCATGCCATCTCCAGTGGTATATGCTCTAAGGGCGTGTCGTGTCGCCGCGACACGAAATGTAAATATATCTCTAACCATAGTGAATGTATGAAACCGATGTGCTTCTGGCGAGTCACGACACGACATGATCGAAATTCCTCTAGCCATACTTAAGCTGCAAGGCAGCGCCATCTCATCGCATTGTAGGTAACCTACAATGTCAAATGAATACCTTTACAAGTATTAATCATTTGAAAGAAGAAATAGCAATTGTAATTCTATATTTTTATTTTTTATGCATGTAACTGCTTGATGTTTAAATCTAAAGAAAATATAACTAGAAAAAAATCCACGCCCGTCCATGTCATCTCCAGTGGTATATGCTCTAAGGGCATAATGAATG